CCCCTCCCAACCCCCAATCTCCTTTTTTCTGTTTCAACGACCATGCAGTCGTCCTAAAAGCTTTGTCATGGTTCACAAAATAATGCATGTCTTTTGGGATCAAGACAAAAACCACGGAGGTCTCGTGTACCCGCTGCACACTTTAAGATCCCTAGAGGTGTTTGAAAATTGAAGAAAAGTTATTCGTTTAGCTGCTAACCGAGCCAAAACTCTTTTAATGAAGAATGATTATAATATACTAATCTTAAAAACACAACATTTTCAATCACGGATTAATGATACTCCGCGAAGTCTTTTGATGCTTTTTATGTTTGTTTTAGTAGTTTTACGGCGCTCGCAACTGCATAAGGTCATATGAGCGCCTAGGGGTGGATGTCAACAGAGAAGTCCTTACAGGGAATCAGACTTACTTTGTTCACCTCTCTAGTTTAAGCAGCACAAAGTCTGCTTCGACTATCAAGGCACCCCAGAAATAGCGGGTCACAAGAGTGTGACAAACATACAAAAGAAGTAGAGGAAAATGACGATAGTAGGGATTAGGAAAGAAAAAGCAGCAGTTCCCTGTTGTAGATCAGGCACAGTTATGAGCATGACATTGTTAGATCAGCCCATTTACAATTCTACTGTGCATGAACGAGAAATGTCCCCCCTTTTAAACTGATTTCTTTTTCACGAGATTTTGTTATCACTGAAGTGAACTCGTTACCCGTTTTGTGATTGTTTCCTTTAAATGAGCCAGATAATCCCCAAGCAGTGCATTATGGCCTTTTACGTCCTGAGACCATGTGGGTGGGTAAAATTCAGAAAAATCGGCCAAGTTGACCAGGCAATTTGTTGTTATAATAAAAAACGCAATAATTTTTATCCATAGGTCATTAAGCCACAGCTGCCCACGGTTAGAAAAATCCTGCTCACTCAGTTCTCAATATTTCGATTTGAAAGTTTGTAAAATAAAGTGAAATGACCTGGACGTTACGTAAACTATTTTTCTAAAAGTGTCGTTTGTTTACCGCAAAAGATAGCTTATTTGGGTTTTGTATTTATCTCGAGCTCCAGTGGAAACAACAAATCATGTATTTACAGCACGCTGACATGCTGGTCATTTTTCACCACTTTTTCCGACACAGACAAGTCTGGTGCTATTGGCGTCGGTGGCCTAGTGGTTAGGCTCTGGGACTCGCAACCGTAAGGTCGTGAGTTCGAATCCCGTCAAGGGCTCGACGTTGTGTCCTTGGGAAAGGCACTTTACACGAATTTTCCTCACTTCACCCAGGTGGGAATGGGTACCCAGCTATAGACAGCGAAAGAACTTGTCAGTTTGTTAGTGTTTGAGCGCCTAATCAGCTGCTTGCACTGTATGCTTCCCGGGAAGCTGAGAATTTTTCGGAGTGTTCTATGGTCTGCTGGGGTAATAATATAATGTAAAGCGCATAGAGCCTGCTGTTGAACGGGGATATGCGCTATACACATGCTATCTATTATTATTATTATTATTATTATTATTATTATTATTATTATTATTATTATTATTATTATTATTATTATTATTATTGACGAACTGAAAACAGCTCACTCACAAATCTCTTGAAAACGCACTGTCATAATAATCCAAAGGCATGTACTCTGTCGAAACATACAAGTGGGGTCTGGGTGAGACATAGATGTACACTATAGTACTAGATACAGTACGCCCCTCTCTCGCCTTGCTGCGCGATGGCCACATTTGAAAGTGGTGTCCGCCATGTTTTTTGTGGCAAGTTGTGTGAAGGAGTTCATGCTAAAGCAATGGGCTAGGCACGTTTTCTCCCTCTCATACGCGACAGGCGAAGCTTGGTTCTTGCTGATTTTTTTTTTTTTTTACATGGGCGCCGTGGCGTACTATATCTAAATTACTAAATTGCAATAATACGGCGTTCTTTCTATAACTAGATCTACAAATAAATGTATTATTAAATAGATAGAGATAGAGATATGGGCTTTAAAAAAAGAAGAAAAAAAAACCAACCTTTATTTCTTCATCAGCACTTTATCTACGAGGTGGTTTATTTCTTATTGACCGAATCAAAGCGTATAGGGCCTATAGAACTTTTAAAAAGAAGTATGAAAAGATGTGTGTGTCATGGGAACCTCCCATAACCACCCCACCCTCTCTCTCCTCCCGAATCTCAATACCAACACCCCCCCCTCCCCCCGGCCCCCATCAGATATATGAGTTTGGCATTAAATTAAATCAGGATGAGCCATAGGAGAAAAAATTCCAGAGTTTTTCAGCCTTTAGGTGTAGGAATGCAATGAAGCTCTTGATAAAGCAAATTCAGTCAAACAAATGATGAATACATGTACTGGTATTTTTAAAATCGAGTTAAACTTTCCCTTGTGACATTTGAACAGGAAACTTTATTTTTCATTCATAAGTTCACTTTTTTTTAAAGTATACTAAATTATAAGTAGTGTTTTCATATGTTGGTATTAAACTTTGGTTTATATTGATTTTAAGAACTAAAGTAGACCATATACAGCACTTAAACTAAAGCTCCTTCTATTGCTGTTTTAAGTGAGTCTAACTTTGGACATTAGTAAAACAACTGTGGCAACTCTGGACTCACTAAAGATAAAAAAGTGAACTTAAATGTTGTTTTGTAGCCTGGTCAATTGTTTTTCTACTCAGTGTAGTGATAACTGAAACAAAAACCTTTACTAAGGTGTTTTTGGACAACATTCAATAAAACAAAACAATAAAAAGTACACTGTTTCAGTTTGATAAAGAAATTGCCTGCCCATTGTGAAAAAGATCTAGCTGCTAGTCAACCTTAACTTCACATGGCCCAGAACCTTACTGGTGGCTCTTTATGTTTTAAAAAAGAAACCCGGAGTGACTATTTGTGTCTATAAGACATATTATGCACTAAAAATAGATGATGTAATAAAAGAAAACAGACGTCACTGAACCGCCTGACAGAACCAGTAAGACGTTAATCAAAAAAAGGGACAAGAGGTTTCACATGCTTGAACCTTTAAGAGAATCGCTTTGAATCAAAATATAACCTTAGAATCAAATAAAACACGTAAGACTAAGAGCTGAGACACGCCCACTCACATGTAAACAAACTTTTTAGCCACTTTAAAAATGGCCGCCAACAAACTCAAATGTGTCCGTGTCACATAACCTCGTACGGACTCTTGTTTAAAAGGGGGTAACTCTATGGGGTGAGACGACAAGTGAATTTCACCGACGGAAATCATACGGAGAGCGGAGAGTGTTGAGAGTTGAGCGCTGCGTCTTATGTTGCCTAACATTTTTAACGGATCAATTCATACATGACTCAGGGCAGACGAGACTTTTTTTTTGCCGTGAAAATGTCCTTGAAATGTACAAAGCCCATTAAGTGTCAATATTTCACCGCACAGACTGTTGTGCAACATATACACGCTTTTGTGCGGAAGCCAATCGCGGATATATATGCTGCTTCATTGCAAATCCAAAGAAACGAGTTCTTCATGCTTTTAAGAAACTTTTATCGTGGCGAACAATAAATCGCCTTCTTCAAAGCAGTGCAAAGTCTGCAAATGAACCCCAAAGACCCGTTGTTGATAGGCCACGGAAAGTTGATGATTTTGACCAAGATGTGATAAAACGTCTTATATATAGTCAGAATGTTTGAAAAACAAGAACTAGTGACCCTCCGAAAGTTGAAGAAATATGTTGAAGAAGAAATGCAAATTTTTTTGAGCAAGACAACGTTATGGAAAATTGTGAAAAGTGCAGGGTTCAAATTTAGAAAAAGACTAGGACACAGTAAAGGCATCCTATGCGAACGATCGGGCCTCGTTGCCTCGAGGAGCAGATATCTACGACAAGTCAGAGAAAAGAGAAAGGAGGGTTTCGACATAGCTTACATCGATGAAACCTGGCTTAACGCTCACCATACTTAAGAGCAAGAGTGGCAGTCGATAGACGCTACTATGGGTCGGCACGTCCCTTCCAGGAAGGGTCAGCCATTAATCATCGCTCATGCTGGAAGCAGCAACGTTGGTTTTGTTTCCGATGCCGCTCTTGTTTTCCAATCGAAGTCAACAGACAACAGAGACTATCACTCTGAAATGAACGCCGACATATTCGAAGATTGGATGAAACATCAGCTACTGCCAGCTCTCGATAGGCCTGCGTGTATTGTGATGAACAATGCAACGTATCATAATCACGTTGCGCAGGAAAATAAAACACCAACGTCTGCATGGGGAAAAGACAACAACAAAAAGAATGGCTTTGTATAAACAGCATCGAGCTAACAGAGCACGCTTTAAAACCGAAACTTTTACAAATAGTCAAAAGTCTAAATCGACCAAAGATATATGCTATTGATAAAGTCATAGCTGTTCATGGACACACGAGCCTGAGACTTCCATCGTACCATTCCCATTTAAACCCTATCGAGTTGTTTTGGGCTAGGATTAAACACTATGTCGCTGACAAAAATATGACTTTCAAATTAGCGGGCATCAAGACTTTGACGACGGACACTACTGGAAGAAATGTGGTGAACACGTCTTGGCAGAAGAGAACAATTATTGGAAAACTGACGGGCTTGGATTTATTCAACAAAAGGTGGTTATCAACCCCTTTGGGTTCGAATCTGAGGACGATCAATGACTCCTCTCCTTTTCTGGTGAGTTTTTTTAAAATATCTTTTTACAGCTTAAAAGTGTTAGCTGTCCACTGTAACCAAAATGTTATTTTTATGTCCTTGGAAAGTTATTTACGTTTTGTTTGTCTCGTCAGCCTGGACACGTTCACATATAGCCAGGTGACTTTCTGGTCATTCATATAATATTTTCTACGAGTTCCGCCCCTGCTTTGTAAAAGTTGGTGTGTTGCAACGAAAATCAGTCATTTTCTCCGTGTCATCGTATTTAGCTTCTATCGTAAAACTTCTTTTATAAATCTGACACAGTTTCGGCGAACATCAAAGGAAACCTGTCGGAACCTAACTTGTAAAGGTTTCTCAGCCACAAAATTTAGAACGCCCAGTAATATCTAACACTATATACGGAAAATTTCAAAGAAATCAAACAGAGGACTTCGCGATAATTCGTTCTTAAGTGTGGGCAGCTGAGGTGGAACGACCTATAAATCTTTTGCTCTGCGTTACCCAAACAATTTTACCTTTAGCACTGCTGACCGCAACAAAGCACCCAGACTTTAGGAATCATGGATGTAACTTAAGAGAAGCTATCAGAAACCTCAACTGCGATGGTAACATACTTTCAAGGTTGGTAGAACCAACTGGCGATGCTGCCGAGACACGATGAAGTAGCCAACGCAAGTGTAACTGCCAACCAATAAAACTGGCATAGCCTACATTCTGTCTCATTTGTGGAACCGGTGCTAAACAGCAGCAGAGGTCCATGGAAGAGGAAGCGTTGTGTATCCCAGTACCATCTCCAATCGACTGCCAGAACTGACGTGGATCTTGCTAGCCGCATAGTCATATTATTAGATCTATTCGCATTGGAGCTGACAAATGTTCTCCGGCTTCGCCGCTTTTTGTAGGGGAGGCAGCCTTTTCGTACTACCTACCTGACTACCTGGCATCAACAGAACAATGCAAAGGGCCCAATAGCCTAATTGCTACTGCTCGTGCCACTATACATTTTTCACGAATAGGGAATCAACTTTATGGACTGGTCAGCCTTTTTGACTCACTGTGTCAACTTTGAGACGAACTTTGTCCACCATTTGCACACGAGGAAAAGATGCTGGAAACATTCAAAGACAGGAGTGTGTTCTTCACAAAGAATGGATTGCAATTCCTTAGTCTGAGATTCAAAACATCGTTTGGTCCATGAGACGACGTATTTAAGTTTGCCTGGATGCCAAGGGTAGACATTATACCCGCTATTATTGGAGTCTCTACTTAGAACCCATTTTTTAAATACTTTCTCGTTTGACCCTCACTACATTTGAGACCCACTGCAAACACAACCATTGATTCAAATAATTAATTTTATTTTCAATACGTCCATATCATATGGTTCCACACGAGAAAGCAATTTTGGAAAATATTGTGCACGTTCAAGTCTTACGTTTTTAAAATCATTTAAAATGTGATCACTGTTTACGATGACATTGGCAGGTGTTGGGAGTAGGTTTTTGTACAGGACGAAAATGTAAGTTAAAAGTTTGAAGATTGATAATGTTTCTGATAGAAATTAAGTTCGATAGAAACCCTTGTGAAAACAAAAATCTCGTTAAGGGGGG